TTATGGAGTGTCTCCTATGTCCCAGACCCCGGCTAGGGATGGACGGGCCTCACCCCTGACAACCAGGGGTCCAGAGGAGAAAGTGGACAATGGTGGCAAGGGGGTGCAAGAGGCCTACTGGGGAAGAAGGCCACCAAGACTTCAATGTCACACATGCCCTGCAGCACTCTCCTGCCCTTATGGCCAGGCGGTGGACGGCAAATCCTCCAGCAGCAGGTCCAGGCACTTCAGAGCTGTTTTGCAGGCCAGGTGATCGCGACGCCAGGGACGTGGCTTACTCAGAGCCCCAGAGCAGGTGAGGCTTCCGAGCCGGGGGTGGGGGGGTGGGGGGAAGGGGGTGTCTGCTGGCCCAGGGGAGCACCGGGCGCAGGTGAGCAGCCCCCTCCCCCAGTCTCTGTCCCAGCCTGTGTGTCTGCCCTCTCCTGACAAAGCCACACACTCATTCACGAAGGGGAACACTCCCACCGCTACCAGTGTCCCGGGACTGCTGGGACAAAGCACACAAACTGGGGGGCTTATTCTCTCTGTCTCTCTCTCTCTCTGTCTCTCGGTTCTGGAGGCTGGGAGTCCAAATTCTGGGTCTCAGCGGGACCCTGCTCTCTAGGGGAAGCTCCTTCCTTGCCTCTTCCAGCTTCCGGTGGCCCCAGGCACTCCTTGGCTTGTGGCTGCATCCCTCCCGTCTCTGCTCATCTCCCCATGTGCCCTATGTCACTTCTCCTCCTTCATAAGGATGTCACTTGTATAGAATTAGGACCCATCCTGCCCCAGTACAGCCTTATGAGAACTGCAAACGTTTTCCAAGACCCTATTTCCATGCAAGGTCACATTCACAGGGACAAGGGTTAGGACTTTAACATGTCTTTTGGGGGGACAAATTCAATCCAGAGAGGCTCAGGGTGAACTGCTGCTTTGGATCACACGGACCTGGGTTGGAACCGGGCCCTGCTGATTGGCCTGCTTCCTGGAGGAGCCCCCTGGCCCAAGGCCCCAACATCCCCACCCCCTTCTAGAATACTCTGGTTCTTTATAGTCTTGCAATGGGTTTTCAAGCAAGTGTGTGTATGCAAGCCAGACAGGAAGCAACGAGGGCCTTCGCCTTTGTTGTTATCAAGACCCGCACCTTCACCCACACACCACTGGCTACCTTAGGCGGCCCGCATACAGCTCTGCTTGCTTCTGTCGTCAGGAGCAGAGTACAGTGACAACGCAGGGCCAGGGGCGACTCTAGCTACTTTTACAGAGCAGTTCCAAATCAGGGGCAACAACCAGGAAAGATAAAGCAGAAAGAAGGCGTCTTCTCTGTCACCCACACCCTGCGGCTCCCGCTCGCCCTCTTTCCTCCCCACCAGCCCCTTTAGCTGCCTGGGGCACAGGACCCCAGTGGTCGCTGGGGCTGGCCTGCCGGCATCTCTGCCCAGCACCTGCTCCTCAGCCCCCAGGGCTCACCCCAGCACCTCAGCCCACTGCTCAGGACCTCAGGGAGACCTCACTCCTGGCAGAAAAGCTGGGGAGGGGAGGGGCCTTCTGCTCCAGCCACACTGGTCTCCTCCTCCTGGGCAGGCAGCGTGCTGGCCTCAGGGCCCTTGCAGGTGCTGCCCAGGTGCCAGGAAATGCTCTTTTCTCAGTGTCCTTGAAAACTCCTCACCACCCTGTCCTGTCACCCTCAGGGATTTCTTCTTTTTTATCTTTTCGCTGTGTGCATCTCTGCTGGCGCCCAATATATTTTACATGTTTGTGTGGGTCTGGCCAGCTCCCCGCAGGCCTGGATGTTATCTGCTTGGTTCTTCGTGCATTGCTGTTTTCCCAACACCAAGAATCCCTCTAGGTGCATAGCGATGCCCAGAAAGTATCTGCAAAATGAGTGAATGCATGCGGGCAGGCAGGGAGGGCAGGCGCCGGGGGACCTTCTCCTGCCCCTGAACCACAGAGAATCTGTCCTGGCTCCAGGTGCCCCAGAGCTTGAGCTGGCCTCCTGGATTACCTGCTTCCCCCTTCGGCCTGAAGGCACTTTCCCAGATGTGGGCTGATTGTGCCCCTCCTGTGAAAGCCCTCCAGGGCTCCCTGCTCTCTGGAAAACACCCGGCTCACCAGCAGGACCAGCTCGGCAGGGAAGCTGCCCCTGCAGAAGGCCTGCAGCCCAGCCCCTCCCTTCTCGTCGGCCCAGGGGCAGGCGTGGGATGGGGCGGGCACCCCAGCAGCAGCCCCGTGCAGGCGGTTGGTAGGGCCCCAGGTAGGTGACCAGATCTAGCAAATAGAAATGGATGTAAAAATTAAAAAGTACAATCCAAATACTCATAGAACATCCTTCAGCTAAAAAAACTGATTCATTGTATATCCAAAATTCCGATTTAACTGGGCGTCCTGGGTGGCTGGGCCTGGGCCCTCAGGAAACAGGCAGGTGGCAGAGGCAGTGGGATTCCTGTCTGATGGAGAAGGGGGAGGGTGAAGGGCCCCAATTGGCTCCCGCCACCTCAGAGCCGCCATAGTCTCTCTGGTTAGGGCGCGGCCCCAGGAAGCGGGTGGAGAGCCAAGGAAGTGAGGGTGACTGTGAGGGGTCTGCACCACCCCCGAGGCCCCCCACCCTGCCCCTCCCTCATCAAGAACCTCAGCACCTCTCCCCTTCCCTCCCCTCCCAGCGGCCCCCTGAACCCATCTTCGGCTACACTCTGAGGACATCCATCAGAACGTGGCCAAGAACAGAGTTAGCGCTTTATAAAGAGCAAGAGAACACCCCCTGAGCCAAGGCTGGAGCCCCGTGCTCTCTGACCCCTCCTCCCCACCAGCCTGCTTCTGTCCCCAGCCTCACCACCATCTCATCTGCAGCCACCACCCTCCAACCTGCGAGCTGGGTGCCTTATCGTGGACGCTCTCTTCTTCCCCCAGAGGACAGGCTGTCCCCCAGGGTCCCAGCTAACCCCTCTCCAGTGCCCAGCCTCACTGTCTCCCTTCTCTGTAGCAGGGTCAAGGCAGCCCTGTGTTCAGCACCCCAATGCCCCAGGAACAACAGGTCCCCAAGGCCCTATCCCTCTCAGACCTGCACATCTAGGTCCCCGAGAAAGTCCTGTAGTCTAGCCTCCCCCTCCCGCAGGCTCCCTCTGTCCCCAGCACCAGGTCTCACCTCCCGCTCCGGCCCCATCGGGGTCCCCATGGCCCCCTTCAGGTCTCTCCTCCTGCAGCTCCCCTGACACCCCTTGCCTGGCCTCCCCGGCTCTGGAGAGCAGAGAGGAACAAGCTAGTCTGATGGGGAGACCGGGGGTGGGGGGTGGGGTTCTGAACAGTGACCCAAAGGCCTCAGGCGGAGAGGCTTAGGAGTGGGGGACCTGCAGACGAGGACTGCGCCCCTGGTTTGGACAGGCCTGAGCTTAGGAGCCTTTTCCTGTAGCCCGTTGTCCCGAGAGCAGCTGGTATGGAAGAACAGGGCAGAGCAGGGTGAGGCCCAGACTGAGCCCTAAGGAGAGCGGGTCCCTTTGGGTGAGGGCCGTGCCCAGGCTGGAGTGGTCTGGCCTGGAGAGGGGTGGGCGTCGAGTGGCTGGGGGGGGCCGGGAGAGGAGAAGGGTGGGGGGGGGGCACGGAAGACTGGTAGGGGGAGGATGAGAGCAGGGCCGGCGAGGGGAGGGAACCGGGAAAGGGAAAATGGCTGAGGCTAGGGCTGAAGGAGGGAAGGGTAGTCTCGGACCCTGGACAAGCTCTCCCCTCCCCATCTCCCCACCTCCACCCCCATTCCCTCCGCCAGCAGTTGGAAGGGCATAGCCATGCGTTGGGGCAGCCCTAGGCATGGGCATCCAGGGGTGTGCGGGCCCCAGGGGTGCAGAGTGGGGTATGCAGGCACCGGAGGTGTGGAGTGGGGTGTTCAAGTCGCGGACGGGTAGAGGGGGAACTCGAGAAATGGGTGAGACGTGCCGGGGTACGGATCAGTGCCCCAGTGGCGTGAGGAAACGTGCAGCAGCGTGGTCTGGCTGTGCAGAGCGGGCCAGGCTGGCGCAAGGCCGTAGGTGTGGCTGGCGAAAGGCCGTAGGCGTGGCTGGCGCGAGGTGGGCGTGGCTAGTGCGGGTGGGCGTGGCCGGTGCGGGGTGGGCGTGGCCGGTGCGGGAAGTGGGCGGGCCTTGCGGGATCATGGGGGCGGGCCTTGCGGGATGAGGCCGGCAGTGCGGCGTCTTCGTGGGTGGACGGGCTCTGGGGCGGGGCCGAGAGTGCGGACAGCGCGTGGGCGTGGCCAGGCCGTGCGGGAGCGGCCAGCAGGGCGG